TGGACAGGGGTAAATCTTTCATGAATGTATCATTTCTTATTCATAACAACTCTCTATCCACATTTTCTTTTTTTTTAACAGATTTGTGACCGGCAAGAGAGGTCCTTGGTCTGTGACCTTGTGTGTGCAGTTACATTTAAAAAGTGCAGAGTGTATTTAAAACATCACCGGAGGAAACTGTTGTGACTGGGCTGTCCTGCAGTAAGCCATGCTCTGTTTAATAGCAGTTAGCCATGCATGGAAAATATAGAATACAGATTAGATAAGTGACTTTCGCTTAAATGATTTGCCTGTGGGCTCCAGCATGTGGGAGACTTTACCTTTTCCTAATACCAATTCCATCATATCATGGCCTAACCATCTCTTAGTGATTGTATAACCTTTCAGATTCATTTCTGTCCAGATGCTTCCCAACACATTCAAGGGAATCCAAGTCTAACAGTTAAATCAGTATTATAATTTTAATGGCAATTCTCTCTGTTTCTAAATCATTCTGTTGTCTTTTGATATTTAGTTCCCATTCTCCTCTTTGTATGCATTTCTCTCTCACTTAGCATCAGTTCAATGTATTCAGTGTTTGTGTGATGCCTCTGGGTAAATCCTGGAGCAAAAACCTTAGAGGGCAAAGATCCTCACCATGACCACACATGAATAATGTGTGCCCACTACCTACAGAATGATTACACAAACTAAAATACACTAAGCTTTTTCATGATGCAAAGAAATGCTGCTTTTCAAATGCTTGGATTAAGCGCTGCTGCATTCATTGTCCTCTTGTCCAGCACTCTCTCTTTCAACATCTAAAAGAAACTTGAAGCTTTGCAACAGGAATCTATTGCGAGCATTAAACACCATTGAGATGAGAGACCACACAAATAATGCTCAAGACAGCCAGGCGCATAGTGACCTCAGCAATCAAAACAGATGAATTCATTGATTTAAAGAATGGTATTCTTCTGTATACTGTTCTGCAAAAAGTAGCAGCCTGCTTGAGCTGGTCGGAGTTTAGGGCAGGCAGGGGTGAAGTTGAGCTTTGGTTCTCAGATTGAGGAGGGTTAGTTTGTGACTACAAAAGCACCAAGGAGCACCTGCTTCCCTTTAATTCCCCTTGACAGACAGAAAGAGACAAGGACGGCTGAAGAGAGGCCTCGGCAACGCTTTCTAAACTTTGTCCTTAAAGGGCTGATATATTGTTTATCAAATAATTTTTCAAGGGATTTTAGAAGTTCATTGCCAATTAATGATTATGTTCACCTTCAAATTCATCCCAAAAAAAGTCTGTCAAAGTATTTAGATGCATAAAAAATTGTTCTAATGTAAAACCTATTTACCTTTTTGTTAAGCCTCTCACACAAGAATCAGGGGACCTCATCTCCATTGGACTTTCTAACAATGTGTGTCACAAATAATATGGAAGATGTATTCTCAAACCCCCCTGAAAAATCTCCACTAATGCTCAGACTGGAAGCCTGTTTATAGAAAATAAATTGCTACATTTTCAACATCATTATCATGCTGTTCAGTTCACTTCACTTACGTCGTGTAGATACAAGCATTGTCCTCCTGGAAGACATTGCAATTAGTGAAGAAATGTATCATGGGAAGAGAGTGGTTACTCAGAAACATCATGATAATGATAATTACAATTTACTAGCATGCTAAAGAGGAAGTGAAACTACTGCACATTTGTGGCAATGACACACCGACTTAAATAATTACCATAAATCATTCACTGCTGTTAGGCTATCTTTCTTTTTCTCCCTTGGCTCTTAGTTACAGTGAATGTTTGCAATTAATTTAAAATGCCAGAGTTTTCAGTGTTTCCCTTACCATTGTCTTGGCGGGGCGCTGCGCCCTGCCAACGGAGCCCCGCGCCCTGCCTGAAATTCAAGGTGTTTTTTTTATTTTATTTTTTTTTATTTAAATCTTTTATTTTTTTTATTTAAAAAAATATATATTTACTGTATATAGCACCAAATTGCAACTGAAGTAATCTATCTACGGTCACGTTTCACATTGAACATGTGCTCTTTTATTAAATAAACTAAACGCCTATGTTATTTATCCAATGTGCATGTTTCAGTGTCCACTGCCTTGCGTATAGAGAACCGCAGTGACGCGTCGTAAAACCCGGAAGTAAACTTCTTCCGGTTCCTTCGCGAAAAACCAATGCAAATTCTCCATAGGATTTTGGAAAATAGCTCGAAATAAGGTCTGTGGTTGACACACATTTAAGAGAGGGATCACGTTTTGTTCAGCTGGATAATCTCCACATGTCAACCCTACTTTTATAATTTTTGAATCATAAATCTAGTCGCCAAAAGCGAAATGCTAACGTTATGCTATAAACGAACTACAAGCCAGTACAGCAGCAGGGTCGCACGACTTCAACGTCACGCCAACTTAAGATCGTTTCAACTGACTTGCACTGAAACTGCACTTTGAACACTTTAAATATATTAACATTTTAAACTGTATACCCCGGTTATCTAGGCCCGTTTTGTTTAATGTATACCACGTTTATNAAACAGCCTGTTTACCGTAGAAACAACATTTGACAGCCCTTTCCAACCCGAGAGGTAGAGGTGAACAGGCACAAACGATGGTCGCCCTTTCCTTACCTTCACCAACGCACCATAACGACGAAAACAGCGATGAAAAAAATTTGTTCTACGCTGTGTGGGCGGGCCGAGTAAGTTCAGGCATCCAAGCGTGAGGCAACTAAACCGACTTAGATTTTAGACGGTGTGTTCCTTGCTCGAAAACTTCGAAAAACAGATTTGGATATGGCCTGTTGAGGCATCTGGGTCTTTGTATGGACAGTGGACAGTGACTGTTGTTTTAAGGAGATTTTTTTTGCTTGTGAGACAATGTGTGCTCATATTGATTTATTTATATATATATTTATATATATATATATTTATCTATCTATATAGAAATGGATAGATAGATGGATTGAGAGCTCTGTTTTCCAGCCTGAGTCTATTTTTTTTTTTTTTTGGTTGTGTGTGATTTTATTAATTTATTATAATTTAATTAATTTGTTTTATTTATTATATATCATTTATATATTTTAATATTATTTCACATTTCATTTGCAATGTTGAATGTTCAATAAAAAGTTCTGTTTGAAAGGATGTACTAGAATTATTATGATATATTATCAGTATGTCAGTGGTCTAAAATGGTCTTACAATGGTGCCGACAATATTATCGTTTATCGCAATAATTTCCAGGAACATTTATCGTCCAACAAAATTATTTATCGTGACAGGCCTAGTGCCAGTACTCTAAATCAGCAACTGTTTCAAGTCAATTTATTTATACAGACCAAAAAAAAGTATTTGGCTCAAAGTCATATAGTATATCCTGTAATGCTGCTGGGTTTGTCTCTTTACTGTATATTTTAGAAAGGCTCACTGTACATAAAAACAAAATGACATGGGCATGCTCCCCCGGGAAGATTTTTTTTTAAATATTGAAGTTAGATGCATCAATCTGGTGCACTTTGAGAGCAAAATGAAGAGATATATGGATACCTCGCTACATCCATATGAAACAACTGTAAACAGATTTACTTTTTCTTTATGGATACAAAAGAAAGTAAAGCCTGACTCCTACTGGCGGCTGGTTAAATGACTCCTCGTCCCTGAGTACACTCACCATCTTTCAGCAGGAAAGGAGAGAGGGAATCCTTGTCCGGCGACAACCGCTGACTTTTCGCACTATTAAGCCACGCTAACATTTTCGAAATGCTAACGTTATGTTACTTTTCTGCTCTAGTCTATCGCTGCGGCGCGTCATGAGATGCGTCATGAGATGCGTCATGAGATGCCGCCGGCGGCATATTTGTTGTCATGGGTCATGACGTGCCACCGGTGGCCGGCGGCTGAGTACCGGCATTTTACTGAGTACCGGCACCTTGCCTATATGACAGTAAAAAAAAGTTGTTATTAATAAAAAAAGAATACAGTTTAAAAGGGGAGTGATTTGTAAAATATCCATAAAGAAAAATAAATCCACTTACAGTTCTGTTCCATATGGGTGTTGAGAGATGTAGCTATAGATCTCCTAATGTTGCTCTCAAAGTGCACCAGATTGATGCTTTTAACTTCAACATTTAAAAAAAAAACCTTCCCGGGAGAGCATGCCCCCCGGACCCCCGTAGAGGAGGTTAGGTCACCTACCACTTAAATCATGTCCACATGGATATTAAACTAAATACATGTGGACACATCTTGTGTCCATATGTTTCTGTTTGGGTGGTCATGCCACAACCGTGCACGTGCATGCATACGCGAAACTATACATGCAAACAAAGAAGTCAGATAAAAATAGCATATATAATTTTTCTTTTTAAATATAACCCGACATTAAAAAAATCCTGTCCCAGATTAAAAGTGCATGATGTGCTGCATGATAAAACTAAATAAGTTATATGAACAGCAAGGGAGAGTAGTGTGTACAAATATATAAATATGCGTAAGAATATTTAGATTACTGAGCAGACGGAAAAAAGCTGGAGCAGAATTTCGTGTGTGCACCCCTAAAGTCACCCCCAACAAAGAGAGCTGCTTAAGGAACAACAACTGACGGGCTTCAGCGAGCAGGATGTGTGTGTTTGCACAGTAATAATTAGTGTCCCTGCACTAGCATCGTTTAAATAAGGTGACCATTTGTTTGCTTGCGTTTTTTCTTATAAACTTGATGTATGAATTTAATTTATCCATCCAAATGTATCTAATTTGTTGTGTTTGTGTGTTTTATAAAACTAAATAATTAGAATCAGAATGTCAGTAATATATATTGTACATACTTCCTGTTTAGTGTCTGGTTCTCTACTCTAAAACTAGACATGGGGTTGTCCCATATCTCCATTCTGTCTCCTGAGTGTACTGTTTAAACTAATAAAATGTAGCTAGTTAGGTATTATGTTGTGATTTTATAATGTGTACTTTGGTGATGCTCACAGCTTATGTGTTTGTGTGTGTGTAGGATTGTGGATAACATGCCTGTGACCTGGTGCTACGATGTTGAAGACGAGCAGAAGTTCTGTAATCCTGGTTTCCCTATCGGCTGTTACGTCACAGAGGCAGGTCGACCCAAAGACGCCTGCATAGTCAATGTGAGTGAGTCACACATGGACACAAACAAAACCAGTCCAATTCTCATCAATAAACAATATTTACACCGGCCAGTTATTCATAATATTTAAATCTGTATAGAAAATGATTAGACAGTGGAATCTGATACATCAACATTAGTGAGATGTTGACACTGTTTGCCAATTACTATAGGATGTTTGGGTTTTTAGGGCCCTATACGTAGAATTGATGTGAGTATAGCATCTTTGAAATTTGTTTTAATGGCACAGGTTTTTGATTTAAAAAAACAAATGACACAAAGTCCCTTTTTTGATATTAGCTTTTCAGTCTCAATCTCAGAAGTCAGAATGGTTCATATCATACACACAGATGTATCTGTAATAAGTCATTACTACCCTGTCTTTGCTTTACACCTGTGTGTCTTGGTTTTGTTTTCCAGCCTAACTTTAATGAAAAGGATGCGTTCTACATCTTTAACCACGTGGACATCACCATCCATTACCACATCGTGGAGCATGAGCAGCTGGGAGCTCGGCTGGTTGCTGCCAAGATTGAACCCAAAAGGTAATGCAGTTTTAGATAAGTACATTGGCAAGTAGTCATTGTGCAGATTGGTCCATTTCAGAATAATATATATGATGTGTTTTATAATGATTGATCATTAGTGTTATCAAAGCTGGTAAAGGTGCAGCTAGTTTGAATGACTTTGTATACTGGCGGCGTGTGGCGCAGTGGGTAGAGCCTTGGTCTGGGGATGGTCACAGGTTCAAACCCCACTGCAGTCAGCATGTCGTTGTGTCCCTGGGCAAGACACTTCACCCCAAATTGCTCCTGTGGGGATTGTCCACAGTATTGAGTATGTAAGTCGCTTTGGATAAAAGCGTCTAACAAGTGACATGTAATATACTGCAGGGTAGCTGGTGAATTTACTCCAGGTGTGCCTCCGGATAAGGCTTCCCTTATGCGTAAATCGCTGCCTAGTAAGTCGGTTTTAATTCCGAGCTGGCCGAACATTCAGGCAATGTCCTCCCCAATGTCACCTCCTTTCAACTTAAAACATCTCTAATAAAAGCCCTCTCTGGTTAAAAAAAAAAGAAGATATGTAAGTTTCATCAAAGCTTGTAAAGGTGCAGCTAATGAATGCTGTGGAATTTAACGGCAAGTGTAACGAAAGTCTTATTGAAGTGTGTCAAGTACCTAAAGGTATTACAAAAAATAAGAGTAAATATACACGATTAACCTCTCAAGTGGAGTAAAAGTATAACAAATGGAGTCCCTGAATTGTACTTGAGTATAGTACTTGAGTAAATCTACCTATTTACTTTAAACCACTGGCATTACAGTAAGTAGTATGTAGTAATATGTTGGTTGTTTTTCTCAGCAAGTTACTTTGGAACTTCTTTTGGATGCTAATACATTAGCACTCTTCTAAGTTCTAACTGCAATGTGAAAAGATCTCAATATGCATGTGTAATAACTGGCGTGTCATTTTTTATTGGATAACTAGTGCACTGTAACACTCGCTCACTAATTTGAATAATATCACAGTGTGATTCTTACTTGCTAATGTTTATCACTATTTACTGGCTTCCACGTCTTTGCTCAGCTTGGGAAAAGTCCTTATTAAGCAGATGTGTTGCAATTGTTGTTACACTCTATGTGCACCATCAGTTTGACCTTCACCATCGGTTGAACTGAGAGCTTCCTGGTGCTGCCTCCCTAACTATCAGAATGATTCTCCTCGTCTGCGTCTTTAACTCTGCAGACAGTTTGCTCTCTGTATGACTGGCTGAACTTTCATGCATTAAATCAAATAGGACAAAGACAGCTCAATGGTTTCATAATTTGTTCCACCTTGGATAGATGAAAATGCCACCACATGGAATCTAATACTTTAATCTCTTTGTATTGTGTCTCTCTTTCCAGCTTTCAGAGTCCTGATTGTTCTGGGGGGCCGAAGTTCCTGAAAAACAAACAAACGGGAGTGTTTGACATCAAATACACCTACAGTGTCAAATTTGTGGTCAGTACAATGAAATCCCCTTGGTCTGTTTAATGCTGAATGCTGGATTTTGGAAAAATAAAAAAACGGATCTAGCCTGTGTAGTTAAGTTGGTTAAAGACTGGACACCTACCGTAATTTTCGGACTATAAGCCGCGCCTTTTTTCTCTTTTTTCGACGCTGCGGCTAATCTATGGATTTTTACAGCTAACGGCCACTAGGGGACCTCCTAAATCTATGGATTTTACAGGTTACAGTCCACCATCTTTAACTCTATGGGCTCTATGGCCGGTCCGCGCCCCCCACCTTTAAGCGGCGGGCTCCAGCAGGAAAAGCTGGAGGCCGGAAAAGAGTGAGACAGGTAGCGCGCAAAAGTAAAAGTGGAACCGAGAGTGGTACGAGAGACAGAACGAGAGCAAGACAGACAGACATTACGAGAGCGAGACAGTTTGTCCCCGTACCACTGGTGGAAAACCAATGCTGTAGATCACTGCCGGTACGTGCGCTGGGAGCGCACCGTTTAAGTTTGAAAGTTGAAAAGTTTGTGTGTCTGAAACGCTATGTGATACAGTACAGTTTACACAGCACAGTACATGTTCTGTAGCTACTATTGCACTAAATGGTAACACTTGAATACGTTATGCAAAGATGCAACTTGTTTGTTGAAATGTTAATAAATGGGAGCTTCCTCAAACAGCCAT